CCCCTTCATTGGGCGATTCCGGTACACCATATATCTTAAACAGGCCCCTCATGTGGCGATTTCGGTTCAGCGTATACCGTTAATGCGCGTCCTCATTTCTTGCACGCCCCCTCATGTGGCGATTCCGGTACATCATACATCTTAAACCCGGCCCGTCACGTGGCAATTCCGGTTCAGCGTATACATTTAATGCACGTCCTCATCTCACGGTTCCGGTACATCACATATCTGAAACCCGCCCCCTCGTTTAGCGATTCTGGTTCATCGTATATCCGAAGCACGGCCCCTCATGTGGCGATTCCGAGTCAGCGTATACCTTAAATACCCCCAACCATTTGGCGGCTGCAGTTCATCATACTTCTTAAGCACGCCCCCCAGCAATGCCTGAGGTGCAGAGCGCCTGCACCACCATGCCGGTCTTGATCCCGAGCGATGCTGGCCCGGCCAAAACATTCCAAGAGCTCTTGCAGGGACCTTGTCTCTGCAGGAGAGCATGCCGGATGGTTTTGAGACTGCTGGGTGTGCGTTTCTTTGCTGCGAGAAGACGCTGCAATGGCACATGCTACCCCACTGTTGTCGAGGTTTGCAGCTTTCTCGGCTACTGTTAGGAGCGCTGAACTGCTTAAATACTGTGGCAACGAAGCACTGATCTGTATATGCCTAGATGCAGTTGTGACATCGTGTGCTTTCGCATAGTTGAGCAGGAAGAGCCTGGCATCTCATGATCAAGAGGCCCGGACCGCTCTCGCATGACAGTGTCTGCGTGCGAACAGCAAGCATTGCTAGTCTAGGGTGCCAAGGTGTTCTCGGCTTTCTAAGCAAATGCGCTCACCGAGTAAGATTGAATAGCCACATGTTCGGGCTTTGCGGTCACGGCACGAGGCGGAAGACTTGATGAGTGGTCCTTCGCACGAAGCATGTTCCCGAGAGTGAAGCTTGCTAGAAAGTCTAGAGTCCGAGAGCTTTGCGGCGCTGCGGTGCCTGCGCGGGTGGTCGAGGTAAGTACCCTCTTGGGTTTTCTGAAGCTTCTGCTATACTGGCTGGCAGCTGCCCTCAGATGCTTCTTCTTGTTCTTGGTTGCTGTGGTGGGTGTGTGTGTGTGCTGGCACCACACAGGCGACCTGCCCGTCAGTGCTGGGGAGCTTCGCAACCTCGCCTGTGATGATACCACTGGCAAGCATCCTCATTCGTCCACCAAGTCACGGCTAGCAATGCTCTACGACCTGCGACATTGAAGTTCGCTAAGGCCATCGACCTCACGTGCTTGGATGGCCGACGTTGACTCAGCGTGCTTGGTTGGCTGATGGGCCCCAGCCAGCCCCCGCATGTGCAGCTGCCCTCTCGAGGATGTGGGCCTTTCTGCCGCACGCAGATTGAAGGCGGCGACCTGATTCGACGATTCGCCATGATGCTGAACTACTCTGCCGACTCTGCCAGCTGAAGCTCTAGTAGACATAAGAGGAGCTAGACATGCCCTTTAAAGCCCTCTTTACCGGAGCGACCTCAGGGAAGACAGCAGAAATGTTCCTCTAGTTTGATACGCCGCACATCGCCGGACCCTGGTACCTTTCCAACATCGGGTCGTTCACGCCGCGCAGAGTGTCAAGCTCAAGTGGCGGCGCGTCTGGTGGCCGATCCGTGCCCGGCAGCAATCGACAAACCCGCGCAACAATCCAACCTCATACCTCAACGGCACAATGAATCATGCGGATCTTGGACGATCTCACAACTCGAAATTCCCCTGTGTTCAACTGGACCCTGACCCAATGGCTGGCTGAGGCAACTTCTGGCCCCAGATAAGCACCCTTGCACAGGCGACCATTCACAAGGTGTGCAACAGAGGGAGGCGGCATGCACAACACCAAAGCCTCAAAGATATATGTGGGATGTGCGGGTTAGGCATGTTTATGTGTTGGCTGGCCAGATTTAGGCATACCATAAAAATCATAAAAAGTGCCACAGATCGGGGGTGTGGTACATCGGCAGATGGTGGTGCAGAGGTCTGCAGCACTGCACCGCCCCTTCGGAAACTTGGAATTTGCGTAGGCTTGTGCGTCCGGCTCGGCTTGTAGTATTCGTCGCGGCCTCTCGGCATGTCGGCATACATGGTATGTCAGTTTCACTAGCTAGCGTTTCACTCGTCCGAGTGTTGAGTTCATCAGCCTGCTGCTGGAGGTCTCGCTTGTTTGGTCATGGGGGCCTGCATCAAAGCAGAGCACACTGAGGTGCACATGGCAAGCGTCGCAAGCCGTCCTAAACTCAGATGAGGACACTGACGACTTCGAAATGCTTCCCGGCCAGGCAGATGTGACTGCGCTGATGTCCCTGATTGCCCGACGCTTTCGGCCAAGCTTTCGCAAATCGCTGCAACGGAACTCCTGCCAAAGGTGAGTGAACTCTCACCGCAGCAGTCCAAGGTGTAGGCATTGAGGCCTATCAGCACAAGGCCGCAAACAGGCAGCCGCGATTTGCTTGTGCCAGTGCTGCCGCTTCAGTTGTGAGGTGGAGTCACTTTGGAGGTCAGAAGCGTTGCAGCATCGACCTCAGTTGTGTGGAAGTCCTCTGCGGATGCATGAACAATTCTTCTGCCCAGGCGCCCGCCGAGGGGCCTGGCTGAATTCCGCCCCTTGGCTTCAATGCTTCGAAAGCAGTTCAAGAAGGCAAACCTCAACCTCTCAGCCGTCTTGTTTTGCCTTTTTTGGGTTGAAGTGACGAGGCTGCTATAATGGCCACTATCGCATCTTTGTGCGAGAGCAGCAGCGCGCAGGATGCCGAGACCTTCTCACGCTTCATGGTCGCTTGCAGCGGCAGTCTTGAGGGTAGGGCTGTGTAGTGCTTGTTGATTCCTGGTGACAGGCTGTGCAGCGTCGCATGGTGCAGCTTTATGTTGCAGAAGGCTGGGCTGGTCGCCTGACGTGCTACTGCCACAATGCCTCATGTTTAGCATCAAGCCTTGTGAATGCGACAAAATGCGGAGCTGCAGGCTCGGGTGGGGGTGGTCTCAGCGAAGACGTCGCTGAACACTACAAGCAGTTGATCCGAGTCCAGGTGCGGCTTGTAAGATTCAGGTATCAGCACATTCATGGCCATGCTGTCTTCCAGAGGTTTCAACTGATATGTTGCAGCCAGCGAAGGCTCAAGCAATCTAGCGGACCTTGCACAGGTTGAAAACCTTCAATGGCTTTGGGCCTAGGGTCGTACCTATGTGAGCCAGGGCATTGTTCTTGTCTTCGTCATTGCAACTCTGCTTCACTGCAAAAAGAGCCTCTCATGTGACCCACACTCTCAGCAGTTCTTCCCCAATGTAGCAAAATGGTGGATGCCTTGTTGAGGAGCCTCAACGTTGGCAGGGCGATTTGCTTGCGCTAGAGAACGCTTCACCTTGCTTTGCTGTTTGATTGTGTGTGTTGCCTCCCCCTATTGCGGTGTGACCACACGATCGAGGCGTGTGCCATTTTCGACGGTGGCCTTGGCAAGTTTGACATTGCCGCCATCTGCCATGAGGCAGGCGACCTCACGCAACCTCTATGGAGGTTCTCACCATTCCGTGCGTTTTGTTTCAAAATCTAATCTGATTCATGCTGGCCCCCTGTCAGCATCCATTCAGACGAGATGCACTTCGCCCTCGCGATTCTCCCGCATGGCTGTTTAGCACTTTCGCGCGACAGCTTCTGTGGCAATCAAATCCAGAAGGATGAAGCTTCCTTCGCACACGTATCGACACTCCTGCATGCCAGTTTGGAGCATGCGGTATGCATGGTGAGGCACTCCGCGGCCCCCCGGTCCATGGTCCAGGATGCCCCCTCCCTCTTCCCCGTGTGGGGTGGTTGTGGGGTTTTGGCGTTCAGGGTTTAGCTTTGGCTTTTGAGTTGGTTTAGGGTTAAGAGGTAGAAGGCTTCGAGTCAACAAGGGCTTAGGGAGGGTTTGGAGTGTAGGTTGGTTGGGGTTGATGGTTTATGGCCTGCATGTAGGCGGGGTTAAGGGGTTGGGTGCAGGGTTTACACGTACAGGTTAAGGTTGACAAAAGCAGGAACGCGCCCTACGTTATAATAGGGTTTGTTAGGCTTGCATAGGGCTTGCGTGACATCCCGGCCCTCTCTGTGACCCCTGGCCGCCCCGCTGCAGCTCCAACAGCCCCGTCCCCTCTCCGCACCCTCCACCCCCTTCCCCCACCCCCATGAATGAGGGGCGGGGGCGGCTGGCCGGGAACGCCAGCTGCCTGACCATGTATCAACCTCCCTCCATTTCCTTCCTTCCCTTGAGCGTTATCGTATGAATCACGGATCGTGCGCCAACACAAGGTTTAAGCCCGGAGAATCAGCGTCCTGCTGCACTCCAGGGCATTCGGCATCGTGTTTTTCCAGGTTTTCACATGGTCTAAGCATTCATGGCCCAACCGTGATGACTTCCATGGTCTAATCCGTTCAAAGAAGAGAGCATCCATGGCCCATCAAAAAAGATGACGTCCATGGTCTAATCCGCTGTGAGAAGAGAGCATCCATGCCCCAACCACGATGATGATGATGATGATGATGATGCGAGACCATCGTCCAAGATGCCTGCAAGCAGAATGTTAGCATCCAAGCACAGTTTACACTGTTGCAGCAATAGCTCCGAACCACATTTCGCGCGAGAGGGTCTCAACCTGGTCTTGAGTTGAACAAAAATTTGCTATTGGAGAACACCGTAACTACCGACATGATCCTTGCTTACAACATATTCCGGGACAACTGTTGCGCGGATAGCGAAGGGATTGAACGTTTAGGACTCGGGAGTTTAGGGTACTTAGAGATTTTGGGGGGGTTTAGGGGTGTTGGGTGTTTGGGCTTAGGGGTCTTGGGGTTTTTGGTTTAGGATTTAGGGTTTGGGGTTGGGGGGATGGTTGGGAGGCCTCGCGTTTTCCGAATGGGTTTTTACTATTGTTGAGTTTACTACTGTTCATACTTATGAACGCTGAACGCGCGAATCTATGCCTGGCCTCGCAGTTGTTTTCCCTAAACGGGCGTGGCGTTTTCCCAATGGCCCAATGTGGCTTTTTCTATTCTAGTCTTGACTTTACGAATGTTCATATTTATGAACGCAGAAGCCCGACATATGCCTCGGACTTGTTTTCCTATAGAGGGGCATGGCGTTTTGTGAATGAGGTTCTTTCTGTTGGTGAATTTACTAAGGGTCACACTTATGAACACAGAAGAGACATGCGGAAAGAGAGAGAGAGAGAGAGAGAGAGAGAGAGAGAGAGTCGGAGAGTGCACAACGCGTCTTCCAATTATGGCATTTTGGTTCTTTGCATGACTAATGCTTCTATTTGTCAACACAAACTGTTACAAAAAAGTAAAGGAAACTCTCTTTGCGATGTGGTTGACTTTCCTACTATTTTCCTGGAGTATCTTCGATATTCGTGACTCTATCCGTCTTGTTTTGTGAACGCGGCCTTCGCGATTTCGATCGAGGTTGGCCTGTTTGCGGAGAGTGGCCGCCGTGTTGTCGAAATCCTTTTCCGAACGTGACGTCACCCATTGCCTGGGATGATTCGGGTGGTCGTGACAGCCGGCTGCATCCCGAATCCCCGGTGCCTGATCCGGAACTCCCGCGTCGTGATCTGACCCTTGCCCCTACGGACTGATACGTGCTGCAGCCTCCTTCCCTTACCGAAGACCACAGAGCGCGGCTGGAGGTGCGCTGCGTGAACACGCAGGTGGGCGAAACACTCGGCATCACGCCACTTGGCCAAAGAGTGCGACGGTGCATCGGAGACAGATTTCAGACTTCACACGCGCGCAGTTAGGCTCTCTGACTCTGAGCACCGTGTGGCTGGCGATGAACTTCACAGCCTTGGCACGATTGCCATTGCGAAGCAGGGCTCTTGTGCAGTTTATGGATGAATATGCTATTGCAGCTTCAACTTTGTAGAAAATCTGGTGTGGGCAGGTCTCAGGCAGAGGACGGCGTTCTAGTCCTAAAGGCAGGCAGTTGCTTTTTGGACTTTAGGATTTGACGCCTGCGATCTTTCAAAGAAGCTTGATGTCAGGTTTGGGCCACCCGAGACACCCCGCCGTTCTCCAAGCATGCGGAGAAGCGGCCGGTGGGTGAGGCCTGAGCCGCACGGCCATGCCGTGCCAATCTTGCTCTGTGACAGACTCCGGATCTCCATCACGCATTGTACAGTGTTGCATTGCGTGCCTTCAAGCTAAGTAGCGTCAAGGTGCGCATTCCTCTTCGCCACTTGTCCGACCTTTGCAACTGCATGTTGTACTTCACTTGGGCCTGGCTCTCATACTTCGGGAACTCACCCAATGAGGATGTTCTCCTCATGTGGCGCCGCTGAGCGGTTACAGTGCTAAGGTCAATCTGGAAAGTGCCGGACTCAACGACTCCGTGGCTCATCTAGGCACTGACCGGGACCGACCGCTAGGATTGCAGCCACATCAGTCAGTCTTCGTGTAGTAGAGTACTTGCAGCATCTTGCAGCGTACGAAGTGCTGCCATCTCTTTTGAGCCGCTGCAGGCTACGGCAATCCGTTTGCGATGAACAGTTCAGAGTCCTTCCTACAGGCCGCTTTGCACCCTTTTGGGCGAGTGCCCGTTGCGCATCGAAGGAACGGATCTATGTGAGGGGTAAGTCGCAGTCTCCCGATCTGTAGATATGAAGGCCAGCTTCCCTGTGTCTCATGAGCGACGCAGCCAGGGCATCATGAGCAATCCGCGACAGCTTTTCCAGCCCAAGGCCCTCAGAAAGCCTGGTTCAGTCACAGAGCCCTGCCCAGTGCCGTCGAGTTGTCTGCCAGGCCTGTATCTCCATTTGCCGGGCAGACGAACTCGCTGAGACAGACAGACTGCTATGGACGAAAGATTTGCCAAGGCCGATAGGCTGCGACATTACGGAGGGACCATGATCATTTGATGCCAGGCAAGATCGCATCAAGCGGTGGGGCCCGCTTCTGCGATCACAGCAGCAGCATGCCGTCATGTGCCTTATCTGATTTTGAATGGCACCCCCGATTCGCTGTGCATCGGCTCAGCTTGAATGCCACTCAGTGGTGTCGAGACTGCACTCTGAAAAGGAAACATGAGATGGTCCTGATACGTAGAGTCGTAGAGTGCGAAGACATGCGCAGACCTGGGTGTCCTTTTGAGGTGTACTGCCCAGAACCTCGAGGTGACCCGCCTGGCTTCAGCCCCCTCTGCTTTGCCGGAAGCCATATGTGAGTCGAGAAAGATTCTGCAAGAGTCCTAGCAGTAGCAGATTTCAGAGGGTGATCGACGGCGTGTTCACAGGCTGCTGCCCAGCAGAATGGAGCCGGCGACCTGCCCCAGCGACTTATGCACCTCAGGGTCAGGGTCTCGGTCTCGGTTCTTCGCTGCAAGAGTTCCTAGAGTTCTTCGCCTTGATCTCCCTTCCTTCCTTTTGACTCTCTCGCGTTTTCTCGGCCTCGTCGTGTGGGCTGTGGTTGTACAGTTTGGTACACTGGCACACAAGTATGCAAGACGCGGCGCGTACCCGACCTCCATGCCAACACTCGTGCAGGCCCAGGATCAAGCCAACGATGAGCGCCATCTCAGTAGCGCAGCTAGCAAGTTAATTGCAGCGTTCGCATTTCGCGTTAGGTCAAGCGGGGAACTTTGGCCGGTCCTCATTTTTGTTAAATGCGCGGTACAGCCGCAGTGCTAAGAAGGGAGAAGTCGTTCAGGGGCAGGTCTTGTAGGGAGTCGCAAAAACTAGAGATGAGTGTGACCCGTGCTTAGGCCCAGGCTGATGAGCAGGCCCAGGAGATTGAGCTGCTGCAGGCCACTCCAAGAGCATTGCCAGTGAAGCTGTCTTCTGCATCCTTCTGCCTTCCTATACAATTTATTGGCGGCGGCAGCTGTTAATGTATTCTCACTTCGCATTTCCATCCGGCTGATCATTTCAGGAGCAGCTGCAGCAGCGGCCTCCGAAGTGTTGCGGAGGGGATTTGGCGACCTGTCGCGAACCTGCAAGTTGCAAACCAAGGTCTGCTTCCCGAGCAACCACCGCTCCTACATCTGCAGAAGCTCTTGATGTTCTTCTCAACGGAGCTGTGACGCGAACACGCCTTAAGCCCATCTTGTGCCCGCATCTATTCTTTGCAGGAGACCAGTGGAGGCAGAAGCCGTCCATGCAGCTGGGCTGACATTAAGTCCGAGTGAGTGTGAGATTGTGGGAGGTGCGCATGAGCTGCAGACCAGACCGTTCACGCTCTGACAGGACCCTGCTGGAAGAGCGGACAAGTCGTCAGCTCGAAGAGGCGGCACTAGACTGCGCTGCGAGACTGGAGACCATGAAAGACCGAGAGACCCCACGGATCCGTGTAGCTTCCCGGACCAGGCCAGAGGCCTCGCAATGCAGACCGAAGCCGCGCTGGCGAGGCACAGCTGTTTGAATCCATGACACGGCAGTTCGAAGCCAAGACAAGTCTCCGGCATACCAAAGGGATCCAAAGGGCCATGGCCATAGTGCGAGCCTTTCCTACTCGTATCGAGATACCGACATCACTGAAAGACTGCAGGAAGTTTTCGAAGAGTGAAGTGTTCAGTCCGCCGTGTACCATCCTTCTCACGACAACAAGCGGAACAAAAACTGAACTGTGTGGGCTTTGAATTTGAAGACAGCTTGGGATTCTATTCCAGGAGCTGACAATTCTGACAATATGTGTGAGCCGCTTCCCGTTCGCTGTTCATTGCAAACGACAATCGAGCATGAAGACCGTCGCTGTGAAGTTGAACTAAGGAGGCGCGTGCTGCACAGAACACTCGGAGCAACCCTAGGTGGTCCCGTACGCTTGCAGAAGCAGTGAACCATGCACGCCAAGAGCACGGACCGTCCTGACGAGCTTGAAGTTGCCACAGGGCAAATCCACTCCGGGCATCAGTTCGTGTCCGGGACAGAAAGCGGTTTCGTGCACTGGGAGGCGCGGGCGAGAAGCAGAAGCCCACAAGGATTCGGCTGGCTTTGGTTGATGCATGTTGATGCTGTTGACCACTGAGTTTCCTGCTGAAACTTGCATGTGCCACTGTACATTTGTGAATGTCTTCCTTACGTTCTTATATGGCCGAAAGAAAGTGCAGTTTCAATACCAATATTGCCTATTGCCTATGCGATGTCGTATATATATTTACAGACTCGCCTGGAGCTTGAGTGTGAACGGAACGTGCGTGAGGAGCTCGAGCTGCAGCAAAGTCTCAGTGCTCAGCTCCGTGGAGAGTTGCAAAGCTATGAGGTGCGGTGGATCGGACTTCATGCCGTAGTGAAAGGTTGTCGCGCCCTTGCGAGGTCGAGCTCTCAAAGCTCGGTGAAGAAGCGAACAACAAAATCGAGGCAAGGTCAAGTCCCGGCCGCAGACGACTGCTTCAAGCCGCCTTTCTGCCCGGAGGCAGCGAATATCCGAATTCGTGCGCTTCGAAGAGAGCGTGACGAGGCCATCTTGTGTGGTGCGCCTGTGACGCTGTGCAGCACCGCTGTCGAGGCTTCCAGAGCACTGACAGAACGAAGAGAAGGCAACCAAAAGCTGCAAGTGCTCTTCGAGGCAGGATGATTTCGACGATGCATGTTGCTGGCTCCTTCTTGTACGCAAGGAATTGGAAGATGAAAAGTCACAGCTGGCTCAGCAAAAGGAGGTGCAAATTACCCAGTGGCAGTGAGAGGCCTGGTAGCCTCGAGTGTTGGAACCGTGCTTCCCCTGGCAGACCTTGATGCGGATGGTGGAGGACCTTCATGCCTGCTGCAACGAGGCAGGACTTCCTGCAGCAGATCGAGCCTCCATCGACTCCTGGCGGAGCTGTGTTAATTTCCGTGCTAAGCACGTAAACGGATTCTGCGGAGATTCCGATGCAACAGGCACTCAGGGCACGCCCCAGCGCACATGTAAGCAAAGGAGCTGCGAACAATGCTACAAAAGCACTTGCCACAGGCCGATTCGACAGTTGCGATCTGTGGACGGGTTACCTCTCAAGACTTGCAATGTGTTCTACTGGGTATGCAGTGCAACTATGTGATGCAGCATCTGCAGTCCAGGCTATATTTCAGTTCTTTCTCACAGAGCACCGAGATACCTGTGCCATCCTGTGCCCAAGGATAGCATCAGTGGCTTCAAGCTGCCGGGCTGACGTGCTGTGTGCAGAGCTTGTCCGGCTAGGATTAGGTTGCACTCCAGGCGATTGCCTCCTTCCGGCGTAGGACAGCCATTGACAAGCTCTGCGCTGTTGCTAACGTTTGTCAAACGGCAGAAGCATGAAAGCCACCGAGCTACGGATGTGATAGTGTGCTGCTTGACAGATGCATGTCGCAAGACTAAGTGGTTTTCTTCTGTCGGCATTCTTCTGAACTGGCCAGTGATCCAGTTTCAGAAGGATTACGCTTCATTAGGTTCAGGAGATCTTGCTCACGCCCATTCGAGCCCTGTCATGCCACTTCGATGCGTACCTAGCGTGATGTGTTCTGCAAGTGGCTTAGCTGGGGATCGGCGGATCTCGCAGTATGGATGATGTGGATAGACAGCTCAAGGCTGAAATTGGCCTTGCAAGCTGATGTGCCCGCATTGCGTGCCAGATTGCTTCCGCTTGCATGGCTCCGATCCCTCTTCGAAAAAAGCTACTTGAAGTAGAGTCCGGTGAAGTGGCGACTTCTTCAGTCTGGCCAGGACGCAGACCTGCGAGAGGTCCGCCTCTCTCTCAGACACGAACGCCCCAGTTAGTGATTTGCCAGGGGATGATGGCAAGTCGTGTTCCACCTCTTTAGGTCATGAAAACGAGCAGCTCCGCTCGGAGGCACCGCGCTTGTTTGCTCTGCCTGTTGCTGCGAATATTTGGCCTGCAGTACTCTAGTGCTTTGGCGATCACACGCAGAAGAGTCTCGGAAGAGCACGCTTTTGCAGTGAAAGTCCTTGTCGAGCCTGTCGTTTCCATGCAGGCACAGACAACCTCAGCCCATGAACTGAATAATGCAAGTCGCACGGGCACAGATTTTTTTCGCAATCCGTGCGCCATGTTGCAGGTTGAAGCCTTCATGAAGCGCACGTTGAAAGCAAGTTCTGCTGCCCTGGCAGACAAGGCCATGTTGCTCCTATCTGAAGCTTGTTGCAAAAGCAGGCCCAGCTCAGGTGCATAATATTCTGGTACATGCAAATGCCCGCAGACGGGGCTGGTTTTCAAGAGGAGCCGGTAGCCACCATCCCTGATCCCAAGACATAATGGGCTGTGGAGCATCGATGGGTGCAATGGACAGCAACGCCTTCCAGGCAGCGCTGCGAGAAGGTGAACTGCACTGTCTGCACGGTCTTCCTGCAGCCAGCAGCTTGACCTACCAAGGTGGGACCGGCCTGTGAAGACCTTTTTTAGTTGAGGCTTCTGTAGCCAAACCCAGCCATCTCAGCAGGTGTTTTCAACGAGCATTCGTTCTATAGTGGTGGGCCAGAAACCAACGAGACTCTCTCTGTGGCCGCTCATGCTATGTGCGGTCTTTCCGGACATCCCAATGAAGTTTGGGTCGGCTGCTTTCTGAAATCATGTCGGGTCAACCACGAGACAGCGTGCCCAGCGTGCCCGTGGACATGGTCCTTGTGCTGTGGATGTCTCGGGTTCTATGAGCCTGAGCCTTGCCGTCAGTGGTGGCGACGGCGACCGCAGTTCCAGTTCCTCTCGGCTAGATTTGGCAAAAGATGCATTGCTTGCTTTGGTTGAGCGGCTGCGTGGCGATGACCGATTTGGTCTTGCAACCTTCACAAGAGAAGGTCACATTGTGCAGCCGTTAACCTATGTGTCAGAGCTGACAGACTTGGATGCACGCGTGGCTGCAATGACACCAGGGGGCGGCACCACGCTGGCTGCTGGCATGGAGGCTGCGATCAAAATTTCCGGGGAGGCAGACGGCTCCAGACACCGGAGGCTTTTGTTCCTTACGGACATGGATGACTTGAACCCTGACCAACTGGATTATTTAGTGGCGTCCCAGGCTGACCGGGGACTTACGTATCTTTCGTGGGCATTGGGGCGCAATTCAACTCGTCCTTGGCAGAGGTGGTCACAAAGCACCGTGGAGCAAATTATTTCTGTATGACACGGCAGGAGGAGTTGCACAAAATCGCCGTGTCGAACTTCGACTGGAACTTCTTTCCTGCCGCGTTTGATGTGCAAGTCACACAGCAAAGTGATGTCTTTGAGCTTCTGGCTGTATATGGCACGGCTCTCGACCCTCGCGAAGAGACGATCGAGGCAGAGTGGACGCCCAGCACGCACAGATACTATCCGGTGGGCTTCAAGCAGACAGTCCAAGCATTGATGCTGTGCATTCAGCAGATTTCTGGAGTGGCCCTTCCCATGCCTGCGTTTCAGAAGATTTTGTCTTTCCTGGATGCCGGTGTTCGCTCCGTAGTCCGCATCGACACTGTTTTTCCGAGCGGCATTTCCGAAGATGGCTCTGTCGAAGGAGGCCTGATTCTGCTCCGACTGAAGCCTCAGAAAGCCCACTGTAGCAGCTGGACAACTGGACACATACGGGTAATAACGCGCTACGAGGCTGATGGGAAAGACTGTGCCACATGTCAGGACCTGACGGTGTCAGACGGCCTAAATGAGAACACGAGCTTGGGCAGAGCTGTTCGAAAGGGTGTGATGTTACAGCGTTACGTCGAGGCGTGCAGGCAGTACTTGCTTCTCAGCGAGCCCGTGTTGGAGAGGGTGGGATGTGAAGAGTACTTGGCGAAGCTAGGATCTGCGTTGTCCGATCTGCGAGCACTCCAGGCTGAGCTGGAGTTGCACAAGGAGTTCGCGGATGAAATGTGCTCAGGGTTGCGAAGCCAATTGGCCACCTTTTTGGGCATGGCCGAGCGTCATGCGTCTAAGGCAGGTGTTCCCCAGGAAGAGCAGCCAGAGCTGCAATTGGCGGATCAGCCGGTCCTCGAGAAGCCCCAGGACCACCGGTAGACGGGTCCAGTCGGTGTCCAGTTTCACCGAGCACATGTACAGACGTGCACAGGATGCAGATCATAAGATTTGGAAAAAGTGCTTGACTTGATGTATTTTTAAGATATGTCTAGCTTTTTCAATAAAGCAAACAGCCCGATTGTCGATATCATTCTCTGCATGCTTCACTTAGGCGGATGCTTTGGAAATGGAGAACAAGGTTGGTTGCGCATGCATCGACAGAATCGCAGTAGCTGACCTGGTTTGCTCCTTGCAGGCATTGCATTTGGAAGTGAATGAGCTGCAGCAAGAGGTGGGGGTGGTGAAAGATGGTTTGCCAGTAGCATAGAATGGCGTGAGATTTTCCAGTAAGATGCGGGATCGCAGCCTGTGCCAGCTGGACCAGCGTGTGGGTCGACTTGAACAGGAGCGTCAGAAGCTGGGAACCGAGACCGAGACAGAAATTGTCCTGCTGCAGACTCGGCCTGTGGACGTGTGTTGCAAAGGCTTCGAGTGGCAGTTTCCGAGCTGGAGCTGCAACTCCAGCGGCTGGCCAAGATCTACCCTTAGTTCCCAGCTGTGCTCAACAGTTGCAACAAGGTCTATGGCCGTAAGCTACGGGCAGGCTCCGTTGCAAGTGCTGCAAATATTGTGCATGCTGTTGGTTCTCAGAAGATACTGCCGCGTGATGTACGCACAGTTTCAAGCCCCAAGCAAGCGCACTGCAGCGGGGATGCCAACTTAGACCCCCTGGTCAACAAGCAGCGCACGCTTAGCTTAGCTCCGCAGGTCGAGCAAAACAACGCCGAATTGCGCGCGGCGATCGCTGCATTGTCCTCAGTTTTTGACAACTCAGGCGATGTGCAAATCATGGCAACATGATGCAAAAGCGCAGTTCGTATTATCACAGCAATCAATTTGTGAATATGGCATTCACGGCTTGCTGCTGCGGCTCGAGACAATTTTGCAACTGGCGAAGTGCGAAGCCTGCGAGCCTACGAGCGTGTTGCGAGGCTCCCAGTTCTACGAAGCTTGGCACAGCAACCCGCTTGCGTGACTGTCCGGTGGAACTACCCGACAGGAATCGATTCACCACGACGATGACAGTGGAGTTTGCCGACAATGTCGCCTCCGAGAAGCTCGCGACTCCTCCGCAGGCCCGCAACTCGTCATAGGTCTGCTTTACGGTCATTCATTCATTCCTCTTCCGAAGGCCAGCAACAAGGACCGAGCTCGCTATGAGCTGCAGCCACTCGGCAGAAAGTGGAGCAGAACACTTAACCGTCAGCGCAGTGCAGTCAGGTTCTACAAGACTCGCCAGTGCTCGTTCTTCGAGAAGGGCAAGTGCAATCGGGGCAGCAACTGCAAGTATGCACATGGCATTTCGGAGTTTCTCGCCTCGCAATTAGACTAGGTTCGAGGGCGCAGGGTAATAGTAATAGATGCACCCCGAAGACAGTGGAGATCCGTCTGCCCCCTCGGTCCCTAAGCCTAGCTAATGCCCAATTAGCTGGCTGTGGGCCCGCAGGCTGCAAGCACGTCCCGATCTCTCATTCACATCGCTTTGCCGTGGCATGGCTGCATTGCCAGTCCCAGCAAAGATGGTACAGATTAGGTGTGCATATCAGCTGCTGCAAAAACTTGCAGTGAAAGCAGGCTCATTCCACACGACTGTACACAGCCTCTTTTGGTCTTTTGTCCCAGGTAAGTTCGCAGCCACCGGTGTCTGCGACGATCCTGCATGCTCCTTCGCTCACAACCCGGAGCAGCTCCGCGCGACCAAGAAGTTCTTCAAGGCCCGAAGATACTAAAGAGGCTGTATCCTGCAGCAACGTGCTGCCGGATTTTGCGTGCTTGCAGACATCGCTGTGCAAGTTCCACCTGAACGGGCGTTGCCGACTGGGTGAGGAGCAAATGGTTGCCGCCACATGTTTTGCCAATTTGCGATGTCTGCGACCTGCAGCTGTCCGGTGCTCCGGGGGCGGACGGTGAGTTGATGATGATCTTTGCAGGAGTGCCGGCACGCCCATGGTGAACACGAACTTTTGCAAGCTCCACAGCCTCCCCAGAAGGCTCGTGATCGAAATATCAGGTCAAGTCGTGTCGTCCTGCCCATAAACCGTGGTAGACTCAGCAGAAAGCCTGCGGGTAGATTCAGCAATGTTTGTGAGAGTAACATCGCAGCTTATCACCCATCGCAACTGCACTGTTCCTGAGACACTTCTCAAAAGCTGCATGTCAATGGTGTATGTGTGAAAGACAGAGGCAGCAGATGCATTCTCAAACCTAGATTGCACAATGGTTTGGCGGTGACTCTGGCACGGGCATCTAGTGGCCTGCACTACACGAGGGTCCATGACAATACGAGGCCAATACGCTTCAATTGCAGAAGATCTCTTTTTCGAGAAGTGCTGCAGAATCAGCATGAGCACCCGAAAGGTGGCCATCGCCGCACCCCCAGGCCTCGCCGAGCCTGACGTGCAAGCCCAACCAGGTTCGGTTGACTCTGGGCTCGCGACTTTGCCATCCTTTGCTGGGTCAGGCTTCGACTTGAGCCAGAGCTATGCAGCCTCTCTCTTGTTGAATGCTGCAGCTACAGGCAAACGGACCTGCTAGGACCTGCGAGCACTGAGAGGAAAGTTGAACACCGATGAACAGAGACGGGTGCAGGTGGGAACTTCGGACAAAGTGGTTACACCGGCACTACGGCAGGACATGGCTGCGAGCATTGGCATAAGGTTCTCGGAATTGTCCTGGACGTCCTGGGAACTGTTCTGCAAAATGTTCACAGTTCTGGCACCGGATGACAGGTGTTGGAAGGCGCCTCCGTCACTTGTGTACAAGTTGAAATGATTCGCTTCCTTCTTGCATTCAGACTCGACGAACCTGTCCCCTGAAACCATGCGAAGGACGTCAAGGCAATTGGCCGATTTCGTCCCTGGCGCAGAAGGAAATGCCGCTTCCTCAGCACGAATTTCAAGATACTGAGGTTTGAGTGCTGCATGGGCAACGTGAATGACTTTTCGTGAAGCGCATGTGCTGAGGACTCTGCAGTCTGACGTCGGGCCTGCCTTCATTTCGCTCAGCCCTCTGATGCGACAGGAGCCGGATGCATCCCAACACATTTGCACATCGAACTGCCTGCCGTGCAGTATTACAGCACGCAACGAAATAAATCATGTCGCAAGCATCCGGAGGATGCAGCGGCCCAGATCAATCCATTCTTGTCAGCATTTCGGCAGCAGAGTGGCTCAGTGGCTCCCAATTCAAGAAATTTCGCCTGCCTTGTTCTCTTCGAAGCTTCTTGGACAGGAGGGTTATGCCAGTCGTGTTTAATGCGAGCTTCAGACCAAGAATTTCAGCAGAAGATGTCCGGATATGTGCAACAGCACTTCAACTTGAAGAAAAGTGTGCGCAGTTTAAGCTTGTGCACTGCACGGGATGCAGCCTCATCGCAGGGATCAGCTGAATCAGTTGCCAAGAGCCTGGCCGTCCTTGGCCAGCCCTTCTGCGTGCCTTTGCTGCAGCCAAGTTGTCCATTCATGTCGAATAAAAACGACGTCCACCATCACGCAGTTTCGCATTTCTTCATGTCGAAACGCTTTTGTGCCTGACCTCCTCTCCGGCATCACTCTCTTCCTTCACTGCGCATCATCTCACCGTGTTTGCACTCCTCCCTGCTCGACTGCACTCATGCCGCAGCTGCAATAGCTGTGGCAACCAGCCTGCAGCCTGGACCCGCATACAGCGACACTTTGTGTGCCTTTTAACATAGGCGGCATCGACAGCTGACAGCTTGCCCGCTTTTCAAGGCACGTCTTGTCGCATGTTGAAGACCGGGGGTGAGGCAGAAGCTGAGTTAGCTGATATCGAGAGGACGAGTTCCTTCATGGACTACAATCAATTACTCGAGTGCGAGCAGCAGCTCTAGCTTCGAGGCGCATCAGGGTGTTGCAGTTGCAATTCAGTCGCCCAAGGAAAGTTCAGGTCGCACTGATTATGCCTATGCTTCTTCAACCTCTGGCTGTACATTCCATTCCTCTCAACCATTGCACCATACATCTCTTGTGCTCTACGCCCATCCCAGCTTTTGCAATGAGGAGTAGGCACGCGGCAGATTCGATTGGTGACTAGTGGCCACCTGCATCCACGTCTGCTGCACACCCTTGGACGCGTGTACATCCCCGACTCCGAGGATCAATAAATGTTGGCTCAATGTGCGAGGACTTGGATTTGGCCCATTTGGACCAGGATGCCACGCCACCTGACTCATTCAGCGAGTGCCTTGCGTTTCGGCAACGAGGAGACATGTCTTGGGCGTGCTTGTGCACAGGTGTGTGCGCGTCTGTGTGTGATTATCACTCTGTCCATCGCTCTGCAAGTGCTCGTGTCTGAGTGTCGCCCCGAGGCCTACTCACTTTGTATGAGATGACTGGAGCTGAGCTACTGAATGTCCATGCAAGGAGTGTCACGATGTATGCATTATCATGGAGCCACGGATGCCATTCACATGGCAGGTCAAGGTGTGGAAGTCGGCAGCCGAACTGAGATGCTTCAGTTTTCAGCTTTTCGGCTGCGCATGTGCAGGTTGCCAAGTCTGCTAATCATTCGGCTATAGCGCCCATCCGCAACGGCCAACTCTGGCCGTCCTGGCCTGTCGCCCTACTAAAAGAAAGTGGCGCTGGTTGCCGGTAGCGCGCCGTAATTCTCCACTGGGAGCGCTCTCCTTCGCGGCTACTTCGAGGCCGAAAGCTGTCTAGATCTGCCTTGCACAGCAATTTTCCAAACAGGCGGTCGTAAAGTCGAGCTTTTCTAGAAGGAGCATCAGACCATTTTCTGCGTCGAGCTGTGTGCACAGTGTCGGTGAGCACAACAGAATTTTGACAGCTACGGCTAGAGTTTAGTGCGTGTTTGTGCATGCATTTATCAACAGCTCCCGCAAAGCTTTCGCTGGTGGTATGTACCTGCCCGGAAGAGACGTGCAGCCACGTTTGATTTGCCAATGGTGAAATGTGATCCTTGTGACCTGGAAAGACCTGAGACATCTTCCTCGCATTCGGTGGGAGAGACGAGTCAATGCAAGAACCAATGAGCCGTGTGATCGCAAGGATCCACCTGCGGCTTTTGTCGTGTTAGTATTCGGTGTTTTGCCTGATGCGTTTCAAACTTTTCAGCCCGACCTTTCGGCATTTTCATTTTCGTGCCTGCCAGTGGGCCAGGCATCATGATTTTCTGGAGCTGCCCCGTTGCTTGGCAGTGTCATGCCTCTTAGCCAAAAGCGGCCAGCTCACTTCAACCCACGACTTTCTAAACGGGCTGACAAGCAGGGCAACAGGACCTCAACTGGTGACCGCCATTGTCCAAGGAATCAGAACTTAAGTGCAGTACTTGAGCCATCTGCCTTCACTTGTTGCCCGAAAGCGATTTTCTTAACTGGTCGCATTCTTCGAAGGCATTCCACACAAGCCGCTGCATGTCTGAGGATAATCCTCACAGCTGGTAGAATTCAACTAATACTCGTAGAAGGTCGTAAAAGAGTGCCTTCAAGTCTGCCGAGCTTTTGAACATGTACATGCTGGCCGGCTTTGGAGACCCATTTTCTTCCCCTTAGATTCCCACATCAGTGTCCAGTATTTCTGAAGCAGTGCAAGCTGTGCACAGAGACAGATATTTGTAATCGTTAGACAAGGCGAAGGACTCAGACCGCGTGGCCTCCTGCGGCTCTAAAACCACAAGCATTGGCTAGTGGTCTGGCTACTCAAGCCTCGTGCGCATTGCGTACCTCGTTGTGTCACGACTGCTCGTGCAGTGCTGCATACGAGAAACTCGTGATGAATTGCATCATGCTGGAAAATGGCTTGGTGCTGATGAGCTGTGAGCGACAGTGATGATAAGGGATCGACTCGCTTGGGCTTGATTCGTTCCAAGAGGCCGACATGTCATCTTGAATGCCTTGGGTTGGATGAAGACAGTAGCCGCAACCGGCGGTGCCAGGTTTGTCCGAAACCCGTTCCACATGTCCCACGTTGTTGCACAAGCGGTGGTCTGCGACTTGACAGAGGAAGCAGGATGGTCCGGGCTCTTCAGCTAAGCCATGGTGGAAGCGGATTCTTTTGGCACTTTCGGATGTTCAGGGGCCCTGCATGGCCCGCTCTACCTTGAACCCTCAAACGCAAGTCCCATCCGTGTGGCGGTGATCCGAGTTCAGACTCCCGCAGAGCTACGGGGACTCACCGAGGGACGAGGATGGTAGAGGGTGCAGACAAGCGGCCCCGCGGGTAAAGTCCCCAGAGACGGTGTGGAAGGAAAGGGGAGGCGTATGGCAGGATCTCCGAACACCTGCCGGATGGCCTTCACTCGCAGAAGGGCAGTGAATAACACGGAAGTGAGCGCTGTAATCAGCCGTGCGCTGTCCAAAGGGCCGCCTGACAAAACGGTAGAAGGATATAGCGAAGGAGAGTCGTTGTCTTGATATTTACCGAGGGTTGACTTGAATAGCTTTCCTATAGTCGGTTGCTGTCACGCAAGTGGGTCACGATCGGGAGATGGGACGCGATCTCCGTCTGATACATACCGCGTTTGCAATGTCCAGATCTACATACAGCAGGTCAAGCGTTCCTTCAGCATAATTAGACCATTGTGAGCGGCACCTCTGCCGCTGTGAGGCCAAGCCGTTTTCGAATGGAGGCTGGATGCAGAGCACAAGCATCGATGCACGAGGGTGTTGCTCTAAACTGCCGCTTGCATGCGTGAAATGCCCCCGGGTCGAAGCCATTTCGAGGAAAAATAGTCATTCCAAGAGGCACTTCATGGACGGAAGGTGTAGGCCACCGGCTAGTACTAGACGTTTCGCCACAATTGGCAAATCAGAATCTGGCTGCATGTCGGAGTCTGCAGGAGTTGCGTTTTGAAAGATAGATGGTCCAAGCTTTGCCATGGTTGTGTGGGCTCCTGGAAACAGGAGACGTGGCTGATTGTCCGGGGCTAAACCAGCATCAGGCTATGATGCAGATGAGCTTCTTGCGTCATGTTCCGACAGTCACGCGTCATTCGTGCCGCTGTGCATCCATGGGCCTGTCGGTGGCCGCTGCAACCTCATTCATCTTCCTCGAAAACAGAGAGTTGACACTCTGACAGTAGCTAAGGCGTCGTGGAATTCGATAACGACCCTCCACCTGCACCATGCTTCGAACTGCTGGATGCCGAGCAAGAGGCTCGTTCTAGCATGTGGAAGGGATAGCTAGGGTTCATTGCTGCATTACGGCTGCAGCCACAAGCTGCTGCCATGGCATGACAACAAGAGACCGGTGCAAAGAAGCGGGCTGGTGCTGCATGTGCTGCCTCAGGAGCTTCAAGTTGCAGTGGTTCGTGGATTTCTCTCGCCCAAGGAGGTCCTGCTGTCGTGCCTGCATTAACCTAAGTTCGATCAGGAATTCAAGCTCGAGAGAGGCGACTTGAGAGAGCTTTCGAAGTGGAAGCTTCTTGGGGGATGTGCCGCAGGTGCTGCAAGTCAGTGGCATGCGCCAAGCCTTCGAGCTGAAGGCGGAATACTAACCCATACTAACCCTCCTTAACCCCGTCTGAGTTTAAATTCTACTAAAGATCTATAGCGTTTGTCGTTGTGTCGCGCATATTCAGAAATTCAGGAGATCGATGATCGCGACGATGATCTGATCTATCGGCACGAAGTCTGGAGGATGGAGCATGAGCTGCAGGACGCATTGAAGATGTCACGGACAGATGTAGCATGATGTGGTGACGCACATCCGTGTCTATAAGCTGCGCAAGCTGTCGATAATACCACACTCACAACATCAGCAGCTTTCGCTTACTAGTCCCTACAAGTATGTTTCCCCGGCAACATCGACGCTACGTTTTCACCACAAGACCAGTGCAGGTAGGAGGAGTCACCACTTTACCAGACCGACGACCGGCAGGTGGTGTTATGACCTGCAACAATGTCAAATTATCCTTTCACTGTAGTTTTTTCCTCCCAGATGTAGGATTTTGTGCCGGTGTTGCTCGAGAAACCAAGGCTTTCGCCTTTAGAGGTGGTTGGGAGGATGGCCGTCGCGAAGAAACAGGAAAGGATACCTCTAGGAGACCGTGCAACTCCTTAGGTAGTTTGTGGTGGGAGTGTCCGAACACGAAGCATTTCCTCACAGAGTGCAAACGTTCCTTCTCTCTCAAACGTGCAAGCACTGCTGGATGAGGTGGGCGAACGTGACACGACAAGAAGCGACGAGAAGCAACTAGCGTTGGCTGCTCCCGTTTGCCTCAAGGCGTCGCCAGCCTGCTCGTTCATCAGCAAGACTATCAGTGAAGAGCACTTGCAACGGCTGCTCATCATGAGCAACACTCCAAGGCGATGGAGGCATCTGCCTTATCTAGCAGGCAACCACAGGTCAGCTTATAGGGGTTAGGAGTCAGAGGTTCGTGTTTGGGGTTTAGGGTGTAGGGCAGGGGGAGTCTCCAAGCAGAAGTGCGCAACAGCCCCGCAGCCCTAAGCCTCAGCGCTTAAAACTCTAAGCCTCAAACCCTGCACCATCTCGCATGGCTCAGGATTCCAGAGAGGCGATTGAACTCGCACCGCACCCGTCCATCATTAGGAGTCCGGAACACATTGCTTGGAACTGAAAGTCCATCTCCCTTTCAACTTCCGCTAAACTCGATGTGCCTGGGAATGGTCCGGGTGCTTTCCACGAGGCGTCAGGCCACTCATGTCTCTTCATCAGACAGCGTTGTCGGGCAAGCGTGCACTGCTCCAAGAATCACGAGCCTAGCAGAAGCGCAGCCGAATGCAGCTTGTGTAACAGCAGATGCAGCCGCAACATTAAACACAGCGGTTCAATGCGGTTCAAGCACAAACACGTACTGACCGCAGCTTCTGTCAATCGATGTTGTGGGCAGATGACGATCGTTGTATGATGGCTTGGATGAAACGAAGACCGAAGAACCATGGTCTGACGCTGTGCTCAGTTGCAACAGAAGAAGCACCCAGAGAAAGTGCGGGAGCGCATCGTGATTGAGCGCAAGTTCAAGTGACAAAAATGAATCGCTCAGTAGTTACATGACGGGTCCTAGATGCCTGACGGTGTTAACATACTGTGCTGCGTCGTTGCCTTCTGCGGCTGTGTCTCGGCTTTTCTCCCTTCATTCCAAGCGGCCAGCGCCATGCAAAGGGATTTCTCTTGATCTCGAAACCTCAGCACGAGGCTGACAATAATGCTTCACCGCGGGGCCCGTGATTTCCTGTCGTCTTTAATGGTTATCCAAACGAAGCCATTTTGAAGAAGGCAGCAAACGGCATTCTCTAAATGCACTCACAATGAAGATTTTGCAGCTACATGGAGGTGCAACGGCCTGACAACATTCTGACACGAACGAAACTCATTGAGTTCTTTGAAGCCTTTTCTACTTGAGTTCGTTGAAGCTTTTCTGACAAAGTGCCGTCGTCGCAAACTGGTTTCAGAGTGTAGACAACAAAGCCACTTTTGTTTTTGTGGATGTTCAGCTGGACGTCTGCTGCAGGGACGAACTGATGATACATCGTCAAACGAAAAGGCGTGCGAAAATCTCATCTGTGATTTAGCGGACTCTCGCCCGCGGTGGCTTTGGTTATGGCCGTGGCGGCAGAGTCCCCCGGTTTTGGGCATTGGAGATCCGGACGGACATGTCGGTGTAGTTACCTTCGTCGCGAGGAGGCCGCTCCCAAAGTCTACAGGCGGCTCATGGACCACTGCAGGAGCGAAGATGTCTGGGCCGTTCAAAGCGAGTTGCTTCTTCCGTGAGTGTGAGAGTGTGTGTGTGTGTGCTGTTGGGCCAGAACCCAACCCTGACGACGACGTGATTAGGCAGCTCCTGGGCACTATACTGTAGTGTGCAGCTGGAGTGCCAGAGGGCCATGACCCTAGCCCCGGACGACAAAGATGACGCGACGAAAACAAAGGCCATCCTCCTCTTGATCGGCGCTCTCCAGATGCCCGCAACCATTCATAACACTCCAGTGTGTGTGTGTGTGTGTGTGTGTGTGGGGGTGCGCGCGGGGCTTGAGCCAGAGGGCGTTGGACGACGAGCTTTGGAACGAAATTGAAGTGGGCGACCGCTTCTATCCCGAGATCGAGCGGCTCGGCTCATTCGGACGTGGATGTTCATCATGCTTGCAGCGCGCCAGTTTGACATGTTCACAAAACCGTAGGTATATTCAGTACGATGTGGAAAAGCTTGGCGAACCGGGAACAATTGAACCCCACAGGGACAACGAGTCCCAGGCCACTGTGGTTCTGTGTTGACTTGCTTGCAGCAACCTGCGACAGCGCATGCTCAGGTGACTGTTGTTGTGCTTCTGTCTCAACCGACAGAATTCAAAGGGGGCATCAACTTCTTTGAACCTGGGTGGAAGGGCGGCGATGCTTTGTTGCAGAGGGCGGTCGCCAATTATGGCAGTCCGTATAGCACATGTTCTGCTGAATGGATATTTCCTGTCGCTTGCCTGCCTGAGTGCTCAGGAGGATTTAGCAGCTTTAGCAACACCGGCGTTTTAGTGGGTGTTAATGGGTGCAAGGCCAAAGTCAATAAAGTCAATGAAACCTTGTGGCTTCTTCACGAGTCTTGCAGCTAAGGATGCTCGAAGTGTGAGGCTTGGGGCAGGCGGACAACATCCAAGCATGTAGATTTTTGCACCGCGGGCTATGTCCAGCCAAACCCCAACCGTTGCTTTGCATTGGATCATGATCTTAGTCTTTGGGGTCCAAGCCTTGGGAGGCGATGCCGTGTTCTTCTACGGCGACCAATGCGAACATTGGATTTCACCGGTGACGTCCGGTCGCAGGATCATCTTGCAGATGGAAGCTCCTCCGCACCTGGACAGGACTGTGTTTGCCACTTCAGTCTGAAGCGGTGGTGCTTCGAACCCAGTCTTCGGAGCGGTACATATACATGTCCAAGTCAACTGGCTGCCACTCTCACGAATGTCAGAGTCTCGCACGCAGCCTGCGACGCGGGCTACAGCTGAACTTGTTCCGTAGCGTTGTCTACGGAAAGCATCAAGAGAGAGAGAGAGAGCCAGGCCGGGGGGGCCAGGCCAGG